AACGTGCAGCCGCTGAGGGAAGCCCCGCGGGGAGCGACGGGGGGTTCACGCGGAAGCTGCTTTGCTGTAACGGCCTTTTATCTGCGGCTTCAGCAGGCCCGCGTCGGACCGCTCGCACGTTTAAACGTCGTTGCGAGTGTTTCGGAGACAGCGGCCGAGTTTCTTCCGCAGGCTTTGACCCAGCAGAAGACGAGCTGACCCGAGCTCTCAGGTCGTCCGGGGCAGCGATAGCGTTCTTCAGAAACGCGTTCTTTGAACTGCCGTCGGTCGCGCGCTCTTTCCTTCCGTAGAGGGATACAGGCCTCTTTCAAAAGCATTTTGAAGCGACAGCCTCCGGAGTGCGTTGGGGATTTCAACGTCTCCGTTCTCTTACCATCGCTTGTACGGAAGCCGGAGCGGCCGTAAACCTGTTTCAAAGGAATGAAAAACTACGTTCAGTCGCCTCTTCAAGCACTAGGCCTTGGAGCTGGTTGGGTCAAAATACATTATTCTTACTGCTTTGTGTAGTTTACTGCTTTGTGCGCTTACCGCTGTAAGTAAGAATTGTCAGTCTGATAAATGGCTTCTCTCACCAGAGAAGCTCGAAGTTTCTTAGCTCGTTTTCTGTTAATGTATGTCCTTCCTGTCGGGGCAAAGAACCATTCTTTCATGGAAATGGAAGCACGCAGAACAACTTCTTACGGCTGAAATCTATCTGTATGCTGAAGATCTTCAAGTAAATAATTTCATTAAAATTATTTTGTTCACGAGCAGAAAACCAAGCCAAATTTACCAAATGATTCCGTCTAAATAACCCCGGCTGCCTGAAGTACAGTGACAGCTGGTAGCAACAGGCTCTGGAAGGCGGGTTCTGCGCTTTATAAACGGGCATATTTTGTGCTTGCGTTTGCTCCAAGGAGTGCAGCTCCACTGACTGAGAGCTGCGGATCGTCCTTTCCTTGAAATACAAATGAGGGTCCTGTGGTAGAAATCTCGTAAGATTTTGTATCAACTTTTGTTTGGGCACCTGTACCATAGCAGGTTGGGGTTTTCAGCAGGGCATTCCCAAATGTGTACTGAATCAGGAAAGGGTGCGGGTTTCTTTCGTGTAGCAAACCTGAAGGCCCTCGTGTTCATGTTTAAACCTTCACTGAAGTGTTTGGTGTCCCCTGTGACAGCACCTGGGAATCACCCGATTCCCTCTTTGCCCTGCGTTGCTTCTGTGTTAAGATAGCTTTGTAAAAAGGATACTTGGAGGAAAGGAATGACATTCTCTGTTTCGTTATTTAAGGGAAGTAGTAGTTCAGCCTTTTTGCAGAAGATCTTGTAGGAATTCCTTGTGTCTCAGACTCTCTAAATCAACTTCTAAACACGAAGAGTGCAAAATGAGATCGTAAATTGTGTAATGTAAATCTTGATAGTCGTTTGACTTCTGGTTTGTTATAAGTTGCTTTAGATGAGAAAAAGGAGAGGCGATTTTAATAGGCTTGTCATCTGTGTTCGTACATAAGTAAATGCCAATATGATATGAATTGGGAAGTACAGTTCTTAGCCTAGCTTATCGGAAGGCGATGCAGCTGGTTTTCCTCCTCTGGAAAGCTCCTTCAGTGCATTTGCCGAACTCTGAACCTGGGCACTGAGAAAGGAGCCTTCTCGGTTACGGAGCTTGGCAGCGCTTCGAACCTCTGCATGCCATTGCGCTGCGTTCTCTGGGAGAAGAACATCTCCACGCGAGCTGTACAGGTGTACACAGATTAAACATTTCGCGTTTCTGGTTTTGAGTCAGCATAGCCACTTCTGTACCTGGGAGATCTTCCAAGATCAGGGCTGTTGTTTGAATGATGTCACGCGTACCACGAGCGACAGACTCGCGTATGTTAGACCTCCAAAATATCTGGGGTTTCGTGGCACATCGTGATAAGAAACGCGCTGCTTGGCTAAATGTGCACAAGTCATTGTAAAGCAGATTGGAAAGAAGATGCCTCTCAAGGATAAATAGGAATGTAAACTATTATACATGAAAATGAGAAATGAAATGTCCATTTCAGTCTGTATAAGTGCTCCTTTGCCTTTTGGGGTTGTTTTTGGCTTTACACTAATGAAAATACAACTTTTGCACACTAGGGAAAGCCTGTATTAGACAAGGTCTGAATTTTAACTTCAGAAAAACAAAGTTATCATTAGTATGGGGGGTTGATATAGCTTAGATAGAATCCAATTCTCAAACAAAATGACAATCAAGTAAAGTTAAGTAAATACGATGCCAGAGATGGGCATTTACTTTTAAAGGTGTGTTTTGTAACGTGTACTTTACCCTCTTGCAGGAACATAAATAGGCAGTAAGAAGAGCGCAACTGATCCCAGAGCACAGGATGGGTATCTCTTTTCTTCTGTTAATCGTAGGGTTTTGCTGGGCGCAGTACAACCCTCATACTCTCTCTGGGAGGACGTCTATTGTGCATCTCTTTGAATGGCGCTGGGCCGATATTGCTCTGGAGTGTGAACGCTATTTAGCTCCTAACGGATTTGGAGGAGTTCAGGTATGTCTGTTCTTATCAGTAGGCAGTAAAATTGCTACATAGATGATAATTTGTTTTTCAGAGAAAATGTTTAATTCACCAAAGGACAGGTACTGAGAAAGAAAAATAGAAATTGGTAATGGAAGTAGTAAATGCTGACAAATACATTCTTCAGCCGTCATCGTGTAAGCATGAATGTATTTCATCGCTCCAAAGTGCCTGTTTTGCGCGCTGTGCTATTACATTTAGATGAATTAGAATTGCGTATCACTGGCTAAATCTTTTTTTTTACTGCTGTGAAGAGTAACCGATGTTTATCTGCTTGATATTATTTAAATCAAGGGAAGCTCTTAAGAGCTAGATAAACGTAAAATGAAACTATGACTGAAAAAAGGGGCTCCCAAAGAGAATAGCTAAGTTCTGAAGGTTTTAAACAAAGAAACGTAAAAGGCTGCTAATTGCATTCACCCAAACGGGCAAGTTTCTCTCCATCAAGCCTAGTGTCAGAGTAAGCCATTAAGAGACCCTTCTTTGCAGGAACCTGGGGTGAGCAGGCAGAAGTGATCCGAACACAGGTTCTGGTGGAGGTGTGTCGATGCGCATCTGTTCCGTCTGAACAACAGACGTGTTCCTGTGGAACCAGTAGTGTCAGACGGCTGGGGTGGTACGGCTGGAGAGCAGTCACCTATTAAACTGTTCCAGTTTGTTTGTCGGATTGCTCAGGAAAAAATGGTGAGAGAAGGCTGCCTGTCTCTTTTAGCCCAGGAGTTTGCAAGTTGGCCTGAGTGAGAACTTGCCCATAATTTTCAAATAATACATCTTTTCTTTGCAACCTTCTTTCCAGGCACACAGGCCTGATTGATTTTAAGCTGATTTCTCAGACTGCGGTATACGCTTGGATGTCTTTTTAATCCATGCTCTGACGGGGTCTCAGAAAGAAAGCTTCTTTTAGGTGCAGGCTTGCTGAGCTGGTCACAAAGGTGTGGCAGCTAAGTAGGCTGCAGCCCAGGGATCTTCGTGGGAAATGGTGGGATCAGGGGGTTGTGCCCAGAGACTTGGAGGTAGCAGGAAAAGCTAGTTGCTTGAAAAGTATCCTGGGAAGAGTCTATAAAAGGAAGAGGTATAGCTTATCTGGAAGCTGTGACAAGTCTCATGTCAGGAACGCTTTTATCCAAAACATTACAAAAAAGGGCAGTCGGATCAATTTTAAGGGCAGGATGTTACGCCAGTTGTTCTGCAGCCAGATCCTTCCTGATTCTGGGCTATCTCTATTGACCTAGTCCTTCAGATTTCAGACCCTTCTTTTGATCTTTGAGGCCTGCATTCATGAAGCTAATTAGGACACTATGTCCATGGACATAATTTTTGTAGTATGTTTCTACCTGCTGAAGGTCCAGGCCTAAGTCTTTTATTTCCAGCCCACTACAGTGTAAGCAGAGGATACCGAGGATCTACGTGGGTTAGGTATTGTGAGCGTGAAAGGGACCCGATTTTCTATTTTTATGTTCTTTCTCTAACAATGCTGGGCAAACAAATAAACCATTGTCAGTATCCTGTTACCAAGAGACACCATCTTGTTCACAGATTTCACCTCCAAATGAAAATGTTATCATTACTGACCCCTGGCAACCGTGGTGGGAGAGATACCAGCCCGTCAGCTACAAGCTGTGCACACGATCCGGGAATGAAACTGAATTTAGAGATATGGTGACCAGGTGCAACAATGTTGGAGTACGTGCTTTGAAAACCTTCTGGTGTTAACCATGCAAGGATATAGACACCTGGTAATTTAGAAGGGAAGACGTGGTAGCACTGGAGTGAAGATGGTGTGCGGGGGTGATAGCGTTCTGTAAAAATTTTCCATCCCTTAAATGGGGGGGGGGCGGCGTTCTGCCTGTTGAGATGCATGTTGTATCACCGCTGCTATATGTTAATAAAAGAGAAATATTTTAAATAATTGCAAGCAAGCAGAAATAGGGGGATAGGGCAGGAGGTAACAAAGAGAGAACGTTAATTAGTCGTGCCGTGGGAAGTAGCTTTCTCAAATTGAAATGTGACTGCTATCCTCTAGGTACATATTTATGTGGATGCAGTAATCAACCATATGTGCGGAGCTAATGCTGGTGCTGGCAACCATGCTACTTGTGGAAGCTATTTCAATGCAAAGACTGAAGATTTTCCTGCTGTGCCATATTCTGGCTGGGACTTTAATGATGGTAAATGTAAATCTAGAAGTGGAGACATTGAGAATTATCATGATATATCTCAGGTAAACCTAGAACTATAAATATATTTATTCATGAACATCCGTTCCTGGCCTGGGGTTTCTTTGCTCCCCTTTACTGTCAGACATTTTTTTAAAAACAAAACAAAACAAAAACCCTCATGGGAAACCATCCAAGTTGATAAGACGTCAGCGTTGCTCTCAGGAACACCACTTCTTAGAGGGATAGCTCTGCTTGAGCCAACGGCTCAAATTCAGATTTAGACAAATGTGCTTAGGTACTTTTAAAGACAGTTTTAAAGCTCATAAAATCTATTTAGGGATTATCTTGTGTGGGGTTTTTATGTTTAAAAAAAAAAGGTAAGAGTTATTTTTTGCCCTTTATTGTAATTTGGAAGTTTTCTTTGGTCTCAATGTCAGGAGAGAGAGATTAGGATTTCATAAAGAAAAATAGTAATGCTAAAATCTTGAGACTCAACCTTCTGTTTAGAGATTTCTCTTCCTAAGAGTGAGTCTGTTCCTCTATATCAGATTACGAGGTCAGGACTTTAAAACTACCACAGAATGAAAAATTATTTTATAAATACCTGTCTGTCTTGAGTAATGTCTTATGCCTTTCAAAAGCATTTGATCTTTCCTGAATCTAAGTTGAGGGGAGAGGGGTTTTGGAGAAAGGGCAGAAGAAGGGGAGACTCTAACTGTCCCTGAATTCTTGAGCGGTTCTAAAGGAGCATCTTTATAGCCAATCCTTTAGTACAGTTTGCAACACAGGCTGATGCACCTTTCTCTCTCCAGGCAGATGTGCATAGCCATGGAAACCCATCGTAAGAGTTATTAAAAAAAGCATTTCAGTATATTCAGTGTATGTTTAAAGTATTCTTTTGATGAGAATCGATGCCCATCATTTTGTATTTACAGGAAACAAAGGCAAAAAGGGGACAAAAAACAAGAGTTTAATGTTTCGTAAGGCTACAATAACTCAAGATTTTTAAAAGACTTAGAAATACAATTTCTAGAAAACTTTCCTACATCAGAGAAGAAATGAGTGCATTTGAAATAGTAATGAATCTGTTCCTTAATACAATGGAGTATTACAAAATGATTTCTCATGTTTTTGCCCTATACTTGCATTAAAAAGCTGATTATAGATTTAATGGTTTGACTTTCTGTTATAATCCTTCAGCACCTACAGCTGTGTAAGCTGGGTGAATGCGGACTTCTTAATGCTCCTTTTGTGTAGATGACTGCCCCAGATAACTGTCCAAGGCAAAGACACGCATGGAGAACAATGGCTAGTGAAGGTTTTATTCTGGCATTGTGACGTAGATAATAGAATTCAAAATGTATGTAGAACGCTACATTTAGCTTATTAGGTGAAAAATGTTTCATTTCAGAATTTTTATATAGGTGCGAGACTGCCGCTTGGTTAGCCTTCTTGATCTGGCCCTGGAGAAGGACTACGTACGCTCAAAAGTTGCTGAGTACATGAACTACCTCATTGATATTGGCGTAGCAGGCTTCCGGATTGATGCTGCCAAGCATATGTGGCCTGGGGATCTGAAGGCGATTTTAGACAAGCTGAAAGATCTAAATACTAAATGGTTTTCTGCAGGAGCTAAACCTTTCATTTACCAGGAGGTAATCTTTATTTTTTTTAATTGTACTTCACAAACATATTTCTTGCAGGCACAGTTACAGACTCAGTCGCACACTGGAAGCGATGCTTTGCTTGAGCTGGGCCCAAGCAGCTTTCAGACTCTAGATCTATAGAAATTGTCATCGAGATTTAATAACCATAATTTACAAATATCTAATCTGCCCACGTATGGTCATTGACATGCACAATGCCCCAGTTGTTTTGGACCTTCTGGAAGTAGGTAACCTGGAAATTTTGCTTGAAATGAAATTTACTGCATCAAAGTTAGTGTAAAAATTCTGTTGGTTTAAAAAAGAGATTTCACTCCCTGAATTTTAAATTCTGGGTAATAAATTGCAACAGAAGATATGAATGGTGATTACGGTCTGAAACTTCGTTTTCCAATGGCATAACCACTGTTACTTGACATTCCGTGTTTGTGTTTTACGTTTGAATAACAAATCCTAACCAGACCTAAGAAGCAGGTAATTGTTGGCTTCATTCAGCAGAAGCTAAAGTTGCTAGACATGTTTTACTAAGTCAGTATGTTGCCTGCAAGGTCTAGGGCAAATAGTGAAACATTCTTTAGCTACAGAGTGAAATGAGGTTGCCCATGTGCTGGAAGCAGAGGCATTGGTGACTGGACTAAATATAAAGTTGCTACGGCCCAAGCCTTAATAATTAAGATTGTGATCAATCAGGGTAAGGAGATTTAGGATGGAGATGGAAAACAAGTTCGCAGCTAGGCTGAGATGAAGAAGATAGCTTTAAATACAATTTTGCAAGTAAGCCAAATAATATACTTAGCTTAAGTAGTGCCTCTTCCTTAAACCAATGTCTAGGGCAGCGCCTTTTACTTGTTTGGTTTTATAAGTAGAAAGGAATGCTCTATCTTTCCTCTACCAGGTAATTGACTTGGGCGGCGAGCCGATCAAAGGCAGTGACTACTTTGGAAATGGCCGAGTGACGGAATTCAAATACGGTGCAAAACTGGGGACAGTGATCCGCAAGTGGAACGGAGAAAAGATGGCCTACTTAAAGTAAGGATGGCGATGGTGCGACTTACCCGGGATACGCTGGATACGCCAGCTGGCAGGGTAGCTTCAAGTCTTTGTGGTTTTGGCTAGGAACTGGGGAGAAGGCTGGGGCTTTGTGCCTTCCGACAGAGCCCTGGTCTTTGTGGATAATCACGACAACCAGCGGGGTCACGGGGCCGGCGGAGCTTCCATTCTAACCTTCTGGGACCCCAGGTAAGGGATTGCTCTTGTCTGGGTGGTGCTTCTTCCTTTTGCTTGTTTGCCTGTCGGTTCCCTGGCACGGTTTGTCTTTCCACGTCTCATTACTTCTTTCTCTAACGAACAGGCTTTATAAAATGGCAGTTGGTTTCATGCTTGCTCATCCGTATGGGTTCACGCGTGTGATGTCAAGTTTTCGCTGGCCAAGGTCTTTTGTAAATGGACGGGTAAGCGTGTCATGCTGAAGATACATTCATGGTGAGTGAGGATCAGAGCAGGGCCGGAGAAGCAGTCTGGCGCATTTAAACGTGTTGAGTGATTTCTCTGTCCCGCGTTGGATCTAGCAGGTGGAGATTTGATGCTCCATCTGGCTTTTCTCTCCAGATAGGCTCTCTGCGTTTTCAGTAAGAAGTTTTAAACTTCTCTTTTTAATTGCAGGACGTCAACGACTGGATCGGACCACCGAGTAACTCGGATGGGTCAACAAAGCCTGTTACAATCAATGCAGACTCTACCTGTGGCGACGGCTGGGTTTGTGAACATCGCTGGCGTCAAATAAAGTAGGACCCTGTGGAGAAAAAAGAAGCAAAAGCAGTTGCTTTTGCTTCGTGTTCCTCGTGGCTTTAGAGCTCTTGCAGCCACCGTGACAGCCGTTCCTTGCCTTTCCAGGAACATGGTTATCTTCCGTAATGTGGTGGACGGTCAGCCTTTCTCCAGCTGGTGGGACAACGGCAGCAATCAAGTAGCTTTTGGCCGTGGTAATAAAGGCTTCATCGTTTTTAATAATGATGACTGGTAAGTAAGAGAGGAATAAACTACAATTCTTCTAGTTAGCAGAGAAAGCTTTTAAGGTGTTGCGAGCTCCAACAGAGCTTTGTAACAGACGCTTCCTCTGTCTCAGTTGTTGGCAGTTTAAACTTAGCATCCTCCACTCTCCCAGGAGCACTCTTCACTGTCCGAGGTTAGGCCTTGTACTGTGCTCTTGCTATTGCCCAGTTCCTGGAGTTGGCTGTATCACTGAAGAGCATGGTCAGCCAGCAATGTCCGAAATTACAGAAACGAGGGAACTTGGTGACTCGGGGATATGGTCCAAAAGTGACAGTTTTAAAAACTGTCTTGCAGTCTTGTATGCGAGAGGGACATGACTTGAGAGACTGGGAGTGTGTCAGATCTATAATAATTAGGAGTAGGTTGGGGTGAGGAGCAATTTGAAGGATGTAGTAGTTGAGTTCTCAGTCTTCCAGCCTACTGTGCAGTCCATAACAACAGTTCCTTTTGGACATCCTGCAAAGACTTGAGAAGAGTTTTATTAGGGCTGACAGTTCTTTAGGCTATTTTGGTATGTTGTTCTAGGGTACTGTGATGTCAGGAATACAATATCTGCGTGGAATCTGGCATTTCTCAAGTACCTTTAAGCTCCTTAAAAAACAGGTTACTAACAGAGACGTTTCTGAGAACTTGTGATGGGATAGTCTGAAAAAGCTAACTGGGGTTTGGTAGGGAAAATGAGAATTGCACTAGAGTGCAGTTTGAAGCTCTGGAGTTCAAGTCCTAAAGTTCCTGGAGAGTGAGAACACCCAAGCTTCCTGTCATTGCTGGGAAATACTTAAATCCTATTATATTAATTAATTTATTTACGTAATTATTTTTCTTCATTGTAAAGGAGCGTAATTCTGTGTGATTAGAACCAGATTCCTTTAAGTGCCCATAATGTAAAAGAGCTCACATGAAAAATTATTTAAACTGGTGTGTGTTGACCAGCCTTGTGACACCTGAGCACAGCATGAACCTTTGGTGTCTTTCTAGGCTCCTCACTCAGTAGCCCTAGAGTATTGTCATTTGGTGGGAGAATAGACTCTGGAGTGTCCAGAGAAGTGCTGCAGAACAACAACTCCAGAATTACCTAACACCTGAGAAGGTCTCTAACATGAGTTTCAAAGCATTTGAGAGTCCAAATAATCCTTACGGCATTTCAATATTTTCCAAAGGTCTTTGAATGTAACTCTGCAGACTGGTCTGCCTGCTGGCACTTACTGCGATGTCATTTCTGGGCAAAAGAAAGATGACTACTGTACCGCAGTTGAAGTTCATGTTGCTGCTGATGGCGTGGCTAATTTCCTGATTAGTAACGAGGATGAAGACCCATTCATTGCAATTCATGTTGACGCCAAATTGTAACCAGATCTGTGGTGCACGTGTTGTTTCTTCTCTTCTGTATTTTTGCTAACAGTGTACAAGGTGGTCTGATTCTCTTGGCTCTCCGGCACCGAATGAACCGTGATAGAGCAAAGTCCATTAGTTTATATTAATGAAATAGTGAGTAGCTGCTATATAGAGACAGGAGCTAGTGGTGCTAGCGCAGATCCGGAAGAGGCAGTATACGCCCGCTTGCCTTTGTAATTGCACTTTATTCAGTTAAAGTACTAATAAAAAATGAAAGGAGACAATTGAAATGACTTAATTTTAAATTGTGCTGCTCTGTGCATAAGTGGAAATGTAGTTCTCTTTATGGGGAAGCTGGACTAGGAATTAACAGCACGTCTGAAACTCAAGAGAAGACACCTTTGGGCTGAAACATGGCGCAATTCAAGTTGATGCCACGTTATAACTCAGTTGAAAATGCGTTTCTTCCATTGGTCCGTGCATTATTGTTTCCCCCACATGCGATTCCCTGGTATTCGAGCGTGAGTGATCCTCTGTGTCTAGTGAATAATAAATGGCAATCAAATTGAAGGGTAATGCTTTTTCCCTTAACGAATTGGATTGTGACTTTATCACGTCATCACTAGTGGCAATGCAGTGGTGGGTTTTAAGGCAGTGCAGCACTCCATTTCCCGCATCACAGAAACACGGGAGAAAATGGAATAAATAAAACCCCCAAACCAACACCTGGGTCAGTTAAAAGGCGGCATTCCCAAGGCCGATACGTACACGCACGTCTGTATCCCAGAGCAGCCGCGTTGCGGGCAGTCGGCGATGAGCGGTGCCTACACACAGAGTTTATCTGTTTGTGGCGACAAACCAAACCCGGGGTCTGGGTGGTCAGAGGACGTTGGGCCGCGCCAATCAATTATTCCAGCCTATGACATCAGTCAAGCCAGCGGGTTGCCTGGTTCACCGTCAGCTTGTGCCCGTGCCAATCAAAAGCGCCCATCTTCCGTCGTTAGCCCCAGCGGCTTGCCGCAAACTAGCGTTCGCTGTGGCGGTTCCAGAGGCGTCTGAGAAGCGAGCTGTATGTCCAAGCATCGCTCAGACCTCGTGCCAGTGGCTGAAGCGCAGCACATTCTTGTCTCTGTGGTGCGTTAGGCTTGCTTATTCTGTCATATCTCGGAGAATTACGCAGAGGGAGCAGAGATTTGGCGGCTCTCCCAATGTCATTGTCAGTCGTGAGAAAATGCCGGGGTAAATGTGAGAGCGCAGCCCTTGCGCTAAATCAGAACGTCTGCTTGGCCAAAAGTACTCGTTGCGACCCAGTCTGGAGGGGCAAATGGGAGAGGAACGCTGGGATTTATTATTGTTGAGGTCAAGGTGTGCTTTCACGGGCTGTTTCCCTTCTGTGGCGGGGGAGAGCGCGGGTGTTGGGGGTGGATATTGGCTCTCGCTGTGCCCACGGCTCGGCGTGTCTGGCAAGGCAGTCATGGCGCGGGAGGAAGGGGCCGGGTAGCGTCCCTGGCCCGGCGGCTGGACCCACCGTCTGTCTCCCTTGCTCGCTGTGGCCAGCAGCGCCTTGCTGAGGGCAGGGCTGGCAAAGCGCAGCCCCTGGGTCTGCTCACTGGAGCGGTGTCAAAGGTTGGGAGACCCGTGTGGCAGGGGATGTTAAGAGCCATTGCAAACCTGTCGCTTGCCCCCGGGGGTCGGGTCAGGGAGCCCTCCTGCCCCTTTGAAACAGGCTGGCTTCACTTGTTTGTGCAAACTGGGGTGGCAAAGGGATGTCTTTCACATCCATGTTGTGCTAGAACGTCCCTGAAGTTAATTTTCAGGAAAGCTGGTTTAAAAGCATGACATCTCGTGTAGTGCGTGATAGTGGCAGTGTCCTGGCAGCTGAAAATTTACAATCAAGATGATGAATACTTCTCTGCTGTGGAAACTGGCATGATTTTTTAGGTCCTACAGCTATGACAGCTTAATCTTTTCTTGTACTGGCTCTTTCTCCGCTTCTCTGAAACCACTGTTTGCCACCCTTCCCGGCATTTGCGGTGGACTTGCTATGGCAGATACCACTGAAGTTTGAGAACCGTTTCTTTCCTGAGAGGAGGACAGTCTCAACTTTGTAGCACGTTATGATACTCACCTGTTTGGTGAGTAGCAATAAATGTGGACATGTTCTTTTTTTTTAAAGATGATAATTCAAGTCTGATATCTCTAACTGAGCATCTTTAAGACTGTCATCTCCCTTTGTCTTTTACGTTGGTTTTAATAACCGGTCTGGGAATGGTTGAATGCTGCATTTAATATACAAGCACACTTACCCGCCTTTTCATAGCCTTCAAGCCATTGTTATGACAGAGCCCAACAATATTGATTATTCATTTGGTCAAGCTAAATAGCAGCGAGGCGGATGATTGCATGGTGATTGCTCTGACTGTGTCAGCGTCCAATGCTCTCTGACCAGCTCCTTTTAGATATTCCATGTGTGGAGGAGGTGTAATGTTTAATATAAAATTTACTTATTTGAAGATAATTGACGCTAGATACTTTTTCTGACTTAGCAGAGCAATACAAAATATACTGATATCACAATACAAATGTAAGTTATGCTTAGCAAAATACAACAATTGCAATATACAGTTCAATCACAATGTCTCTGACCAGCTCCTTTTAGATATTCCATGTGTGGAGGAGGTGTAATGTTTAATATAAAATTTACTTATTTGAAGATAATTGACGCTAGATACTTTTTCTGACTTAGCAGAGCAATACAAAATATACTGATATCACAATACAAATGTAAGTTATGCTTAGCAAAATACAACAATTGCAATATACAGTTCAATCACAGTGTTGACGTGATCTCCATTACTGGTCTCTACAACACACTCACCATCAGGATGCTGGGCGTCCCCAGTCACTGGAAAGGAATATGTGGGTTGAAACCAGCTGACGCCCATTGCTATCTTTGAAAATCTTTTGTTAGTTGTTTAGTTTTTATAATCCCTGTTGTGCTGAGCCACGTGTACGCTCCTCCCCATGCTGGTCTGGCTAAACCAGGGCGACAGTCACACTCTTTTATTTAACTCGGGGATAAACAGTTAGGCTACCAGCTGATGCACTCAACTGACAGAGCTGTTTATCTAAAATAAAGGCCACCCTCCAGCCCTCCTTGTGTTGAGATAACGTCAGCATTCTTTGCGACACCTGCGGACAGTTACAGCCTGCATTATTCCCTGAGCTTCCTGGGCAAGTCACTCTTGCCTGCCTCCTCCGAGCCTTCTTCCTTTGGCAGGGTTTATTGGTCCGTCACCTGCTGGTAGGTCTTGCGTAGGCATTGCCACTGCAGCGGTGCATTGGGGAAACGCTGCCGTTGCAGCGCGGTATCGATTGTGCATTCGATTGACAGAGCTGTGCTATGACCACGTAGGGACATATAAGAGCAGGCCTGCTTTTTTAGGTTTGCGGTGTAAAAGCTTGCAAACAAAAGGGTCTCATTTCAATGTCTAGAACCCACATCCTCCAGGTCTTCACAACCACGTTTCCAATGATACCGGGGGATCAAATGGATTAAAACACGGGATTTCAAAACAAAGCCAAACCCCTCCAATGTCTCGTCTGCCCAAAGCTTCAACTCCCCTAAAACTCCCCTGAAAATCAGAGCCAATTTGTCAGGCACCTGACGTTTTTACCGTACCAAAAGTGATGCTGTGTTTGAAACTGCACATTAAATACTTTCTACTTGGGGTAGTACTTCAGAAAGACTGATAAATCGTCGGTGCTGGATGACCACCTTTTCTCCTGCCCTCATGCATTTCCTCAGCATGCTAAAATACTGCCGCGTGTTCAGCGTGAGCTGCTGAATAGCCTGTCACGTGAGGACTCCCGGTCCCCTTGCCGGTGGGTCGGCCGTCCGTTGCATCGGGCTATCGAGGATGGGTCCTTCCTCTCCTTGGCCGACAGCAGTGTATCTCAGTGGAAAACGCAGGTCATTGGAAACTGAATGGTACGCAGTGACGTGCCATCACGTCAATGGAACCCCACCGGGAATGGTGGTGTAAAAACCTCAGGCACATTTGGTTGCTCTCGGTATTACTGAGGAATGGGGGGGTCTGTGCTCACTGAATTGGTAATCACAAGGTGCAGTTATCTCACTGGTTCCTTGCTGTTAGCGAGTAGGCAAGGTCATTCGCAGTAATTTACTATTTCATTGTTGTAGTGGAAAAAGAGACCTTTGATAAGGTCGGTGATATGAAAATGAACAGGTGGGCAAATGGGACCTGCTTCTGCGTTTCGTCCTTGAAGACAAATTCTGGGAAAGAGAAGGATGCATGTGACACATTCAATGGCGTGGCTGGTTTCAGGAGAAACACGCTAGAGGCAGTTTGGGTACAAAGTACGCTGAGGTTTCTTTTCTCTTGGAGTGGATGTGCCATTTTGTGGACTTTTGGTTTTTCTCACAGATATTCATCAAATGTCAGGGATTTCCTGGTCTTCGTATTCTCTCAGAGTGTTGTTTTATCAGTTGCATGACTCGAGCTTATTCATGGAGCGTTATTGCTGGGACTTTGATCTTCCAAATCAGCTCCAAATGGAGACCTGAAATTATGTCGTGAGCAAAAGCCAGAAGGTTTTTTTGAAGGAGGAGATTGTAGGAAAAGCCAGAAGGGACTTGGGCAACAGCTCTGGCTTTCTAATGCAGTTTTATGTCAGGCAGCTAAAACTCATCTGCAGTATCACTTTACATCTGATTTTGGGTTGCCTTCCTTGACTCAGATGAATCATTGGTCATTTAAAGTGAGATGAAACCTTATGCAGAGTCTCTGCTGGAGAGGAAAACACTTGCAGCTCTGATCACTTTCAGTCAGGTAGAGCAACAGCTGCTCTGCACGACCGTGTGAAGAAAGCCCAACAGTTCCTAGCAGGGGTTGGGCAATGATGCTAGAAAAACTCCAGGCATGACAAGGGCTCAGTTTCTAGTTACCAGTGTGATTCACCTGGTGAAGACCCACGACGTGTTGTGTAATACATCTGTTACTGACCGAGAGTGGCTGATCAGCTCCCTTGGTTTGGGCTCGGGCTAATCCTGAGAGCTAGATGCCTCTGAATGCTGGCAAACACATTCATTCTCTTAGAGCTGTTAGATTTCCAGTTGTCTTTTAATCACCTCCCTTTCCTTTCACCTTCCAGAGGCCCCTTTGTGGGTCTATGTGTTATGTTTTGGAATACTTTTGATAAAGTATCTTTGTTTACATGATTGGAAAGCGTACGATTCTGAATTTAGGTGCACTGCTCACAGACCGCTTGGTTTGTGATAACGTATAATCATTGTGAAAAGGTATTTTATCTTCAGTTGTTGGGCAATCCAGGAAAAAACAAAACAGAAGAATGGTATCGAGCTAGCTAGCCAAATAATAACCGATAGCACTGATCTGTGTGAATTTTGACAGCTGCAGTAGGAACTTTGTCAACTTGCAGGAGTATAAATTGCCAGCGGAGAGACCACAGCCTTGCACTGAAGGCATCATGCAAGTCCTCCTCCTACTCGCAGCAGCAGGGTTTTGCTGGGCGCAGTACAACCCT